GGGGGGCTGGGGGGGGGGGACCCTTGCTCTGTGGACATTTCCTAAAATGCTACCGCAACCAATAAAAAGTGCCACCTCTCCTGCACATACCTCTGCTGAGTTCCTGTGGGCAGCACCAGCGTCTGCCCCAGGCACAGGGGCTCCCAGGCCAGGAAGGGGTTTCCTGCCATCGCAGGGAAGTCCGTGTGTGCAGGTGGCGGGGCACCTCTGCCTGGACAAAGCCCTCGCACGCAAAGCCGGGTTGTACCCCTCCGAGTCCTACCGCAAAGAGCCCTGTACCTAAATCTGCAACCACACTGTGACACCCACCCCCCCGGGGGGCTGGTCGTTCTCTGGGAACCAGGCTGGAATAGAACCCGGGGCTGGAACTGCAGGGTTTACACAACCAGCCCCAGCTCTGGGGCGGGGTGGACTGCCTCTCGGCAGACAAGTTTCCCCTGTATCTGCTTCCTCCTCACTCCCAGCCTCACTTCCACACACTCACAAACACACAAGTACCTGGGCTCCACCGCTGGAGTCTATAGGTCAGTGTCAAGTGGGCAAGGGCAGTGAGGAGTAGGGAGGCTGAAATTACGGTCTCACCAGCAGCCGAGAAACGTTCTGGGATCAGAATGAGCTGAGGGTCCCCAAACCACATGCAGGTGAAGGCTGTCTCCCACCGTCTGCTCTCGCACGGATGCTCACATCAGCTCCGAGGCAGAAAGGGTCCCCTCGTATCAGATGGGACACACTCTGTCCACAGACCAGGCCATTCGCACCCGGCCTGACACCTGCCCCCCCAGCCCAAGCTTCTCCCTGGGGCAGGCTCCCGGCAGGTGGGAGGCTGGGCTCCTGCCCTGGAACCCGCACTCCCTGGGGCAGGCTCCCCTGCTCCTTCCTTCCTGGGTCCACGTACTCAAGCAGAGGCCAGCAGCGCTCTGCCAGGAGAGAGGGCAGGGAACTGGGGGCCAGGGGACCCCCCTGAGTGCAGGCTCTCGGCAGACGAAACCCAGAAGCCTAGCCCTGCCTCTTCCTGATGTGCCAGGTTAGCTGAACCCCCAGAGGATGGGGCTCGGGAAGCCACAAACACACCAAGGGTGGCCGCGCTCTTGCAGTGACAGCATTGGGTCTTGCTCGACCCGGGTGCCATAGCTGGTGCCCGTGGGGTTCCCACGCGTGGAGGCCACACTCAGGGTGCCCACCCCTCTGCTCCTCGTTTGGCTCGGCCGATGAGCCCCAGGGGCAAACTGCTTTTTCCTGTGCCGTGGGGCTCGCTCAGCATCACCACGAAGACCTCCAGAAATTACCCGAGCTGTCTCTCCAGGACCAGGTCAGAGGTGGTGGATGGCCTGAGGGACCTGTCCCCTGTCCTCCTCGCCCGGGGCCTCAGTGGTTCTGTGGGTGCCCCGGAGTCCCCCCCCAAGACTAGGAGAGCCCGTGGAACACCACAGGTCCCAGGAAGGAGGGGCACCCACCTGTCAGCCGTTCTGCGTGGGGTGCGCTTTTCCCAGCGAGCCCCAGGTTTGCTTTCCCCTCCCCCACGGTACCAGCCACCCCTCGGCCTCTCCCCACCCCAGCAGGCCCATCGTCCCTTCCACACATTTAGGGTCCGGAAGCCCTGTCAGCCTGGGCTGGCCAGCCAGGCAGGCCTCTGCTGCCTGTGGCCTCACTTTCCCCCTCTGGGTCAGGGACCGGGAACTCGCCAGGTCCCCACCAACTGCCCCTCACACTCCCCCTGAATAAAATCTGTAATGAAAGATTCAAGCTGTGGGATAGAATTGTGCCAGCAGCTCCTCACACGTGACACCTCCTCGACCCCTGCCCGTTCTAAATGCTAAAGAAAGGCAATGAAGGGGGGCAGTTTGGAAATGTGGCCGTTATCACCTCCAGAATTATGCGGAGAGCTCTGTCCAGCTCCCGGAGTATCACTGACTCGGGAGGCAGGCTCTGACACCAGGTTAAGTGATCACCGTCAGTGACTTGTCCCAAAACTATCATCAGGCCAGCCAGAGGCCTCTGGAGCCCACCAGAAACTGCCCTGGGAGGTAAGGTGTGATTTTAAATTGACGCTCCAGAAACCACCCCCCCTTACCCTCGCCGCTTGTGTAAGGCGGTGCTCTCTGTACCTGAGCCCCGCCTTGTTCCCCCATTTACACCCATCACACTCAATTGGCCTCCCCCATTGGGCCAATTCACCTCTGGCTGAACTGTGTTTCTGGACAACCTGGAGAGGAACTGCGCGGGCTGCAGTGGCACGGCAGCCCCAGGACGGAACCACAGTTCAGTATCGGTGCTGGGAGTCTGAAACCTCCTCGCACACTTGTTGCCCAGAAAATCTCCTTTTGGCCAATACTTTTATTTTGGAAAAACGCACTCCCCCCCCCCCACACACACACACACATTTCTCTCTCTCTCCGTCCTGGCTGCTGAGACTGACCGACAGCATCAGTGGCCCCAGAGCCGGGTGCAGGGCCACGCACACAAGCCTCCCATGTGTGTGGGTGTTCTCTCGAGGCCCAGGATGATGAGAGGATCAGGGCGCCACCCCCCCGGAAAGCTGTGGATACAGTCGGCCCCGCGACTGTTCCCTCCCCAGTACCTCCCAAATGTGTCCTGTCAGAGGAAGGCCATGAAAAACAAAAACAGGAGGGGCTTGGCATGTGGAGAGGGCGGCCTCACCCATGCATTGGGGCTGCTAAAAACCTGGGGCCCCTCCCCCTATTGCAGACAGCGCCGTGTCCAGCTCAGGCACGCGGGGTGCTGTCTGCCCGCCAGGGCACGGCACTCGCGGGCTCTCCCGGCCTGAGGAGAGGCTCTCCGCTCCCTGAGACTCCCTAGAGGGACAGCACCTCCTCTCCTGCGCGCTACTGCCCTGCCTCTCGCCGTCAGTGGAGCCAAGAGGAAGACGAATACCGAATGTGATTTTCAGGAACACAGATGGTCTCACAAAAAAGACACACCTTTTGTATATTTTGCTTTCATCTTAATACTGTAGAAGTTTTCACTGCATTAACTTAAGTTGATTTGGCAACACATGATCAGAAAGCAAATAAAAAGCCACCGCCAGGCAGGATCGTTGTCCCGCGGCAGTAAGCTGCCCCCCAGGGCCCATCAGGCCGCCGTACCGGGATGTTCGTCGAACGAGGGCCACACCTGTGTCACCACCTTGGATCGCCCATCCCCAGACTCATCTTCAGACTAGAATCCAGGCTGGGGTGTGACGATCCTGCAACTATCACTTCCATCACCTTCACTTGTGTATCATTTTGACATTTTTTGTGATCTTGCCCCCAGTGTAAATTGGTTCCAAGAAAAAAGAAATTGCTCAGTGCAAAAAAACCTTTCTCGCCTTCACGTACATATGAAGGCGGTGTCGACATTTCCTGAGACACAGTCTTGGCCTAAAACAGCGGCACCTCCTCGCCAGCCTTCCAAAGCATTTCCCACGGCTGGGCCCTGCCGGGCACAGTCACACGTCCGCTGGCCTGCCTGGGAGGGGGCACCTGAGCCAGGCAGCCCGGGTCTCGCTGGGTGATTGGAAGCTGACCTCAAGGAAGGGGCGCCCACTTTCCCTGGCGACCCTGAGGTGAAGTGCATGGGACCGGCTCTCTTCCTTCAGCCCCTGGGCCCGCCTCCCCGCATCCATCATTCACGAGGTGTGTGTCATCTGGACTGGGCTGCTGATGGATTCACAGTCACCACACTGACAGAACGAGCTTCTCACCCCCCAACTCATGCCATGCCTCGGGCCACCACTGCACCGGTGACGCTTTACTTCGAGGCAATTACTGCTGCAGACATGTCTCATTTTATAAACTACATTTGCAGTCATTCACAGCCAATAACTGGCAGGATCCTCACAAACACGCAGGAGTTTTTGAGGAAAACTCTGGAGAGGGAACGCTGTCCACAGCAGACACCACTAGGGGCTGTGGCACTGTCAACCCCCCCAGAGCTGCCCCTCTGCCCAGCAGTAGAGAAGGGAAGCCACGAAAGCATCCAGAACACAGGCCCTGGGGCCTGGGAGCTTGCCCAGGGCTGCTGGGCACGCTGAGATGCTCATGTGAGGAGTGAAGGGGGAAATACGGGCCACTAGAGTCACCCAGCAGCCCCCCACCGCAGATGCAGGGGGATGTGGGAGGACCAGGGGTTCGGGCGGCAGAGATGCCGGGCCAGGCCCCTACTCCCGGAAGGTCACCCCAGGCCTGAGGGCCTGAGTGGGGTGTGGGACTGGCTCCTCCTGCAGTAGGGACATGGGCCACGCCTGTCTCACTCCCCTGGCCCAGACCTGCCCTCCCCCTGTCCTGAAGATGGAAGGCTGTGTGCCAGCCACGCAGCACTCCCCAGGAGATAGGGAAAAAGCCTGGGCAAGCAGGCAGCCTCCTTCCCCTTGGGGACCCGGGTCGCTGGCCCCCGCTTTCCTGGGAGCACTACCACCTGGCCACCCCGGCACCCACCACACCTCCCCCGAGTGAGTCCCAGCAGGGTCCACAATGTGCCCACAGAAGAAGCCAGTAGTAGCAGTGAGGTCCAGGGCCCACAGGATATTCTGGGCCCCACTGGGCTGTCGGCACAGCTGACGGCCCAGTCCTGAGTCCCAGCAGGAGGAGGGGCTGCACTGCAGGCAGGGTTCCAAAGGCCAACATAACAGAATACCAGGACGCTGCCCCTCACGGCAGGTGTGGCCCTTCCTCATGGTCATGGGTTTCTGCCAGCCTGCCCTCTGAGACCGGGTCTTCTGCACTCCTGGAGGGGCTTCATGGTGTCCTCTGTCCTGTCAACAGAGCCCCAGGTCAGCCTTTCCCGGGTTTGTGAGCACGTTCCAGGCTGCAGACAGGCGCTCAGAGAGGGGAAGGAAGAGAACGCCAGTCGACCCATCGCCTGGCAGCAGCCTCGGCAGGCAAGCAGGCCCGCCCTCGCTAGGAATTTACTGGCGCTTCAAGCAGGCTCCGCCTGGGCGAGCGGGAAGAAAGGCTTCTGCACCCAGCCCCCACCGCCCACCCCAGACCCACAGAGCTGATGACAGAGATCCCGACGGCCGAGACCCCTCTGGGGCCACGGTGCCTGCCCGCCCCGACGGGGAGGCCGGGCGGCCGGGCGGCGCCTGCGGCTGGAGACCGCCACGCGTCCTTGTCCTCCTCCCCGGCTGCCTCAGAGGGCCTTGGCACTGGCGGGGTGCGCCGCGTGGGGGGCGGGCTTCGGGGGGTGGCGGGCGAACGCGTAGGCCTGTCCCAGGATGGCCAGGTCCACCAGCACCTGCAACAGGCCACACACGGAGAACTGCAGGGGCGCGCCGTTCAGCAGGAAGTAGGCGGTCTTGAAGGCGTCCCCGCTGGTCCACATGAACACCATCTTGATGCTGCAGAGACACCAGCCAGGGGTCAGTAAACAAAACGGGGCTGGGGGCTCAGCAGACGGGGCAGTCGGGGGACACCGGCCCCAACCCGTCCCTCCCATCCCTCCCATCCTCGCCATGAGGGCCCTGCATGTCCCGCCACGGGGACAGGGAGGCCCTGCGGCCGGAGGGGCCTCAGCTGTGTGCGGCGGGAAAAGGCCGACACAGCGGTGGGGCCCCCACAGCCTCACAGGTGCTCTGCCCCTCGCGGCTGCGGGCACGTCTGTCGCGTGCCCCCCAGGAGACTCGCCGTGGCCTTAGGACAGGGGAGACCACCCCTCCCCACGCTGCATCCCAGGGGGCCGACCAGGCAGGGGCAGCAGCCACAGCCACAGGACTTCAGGACGGCCGCACCCGGCCACAGGAGCCTGGCCCAGGACAGGTGGTGGCCCCCTGAGCCTCAGCTTTCTCTTCCTGGCCGCGGAGCCCCCGGTCTGCACCCAGGGGACAAAAGCAGGGGCTGTCAGGAGAAGCGGAGCAAAGCCGGCCACTCTCGGAAATCCCTGCCCGGCCAGAGCCCGCCCCTCCAGGCGAAAGCTCACTGGAGGGTGATTCCCTTCCCGGTCATGGACGCCGACCCCCCTCAGACACCTCAGACCCGTCTGTAGGGGGACAGGGACCCTTGGTGAGTAAAGAGGGAACTGTCACTCACGTCACTGCCCCCAGCCCACATGCACACCACCGAGCCCTGGCTCCCCGAGCGACGAACGGAGCACCGCTGTGCCTTCCCGCGTACGCTATGTTTAAATCGGACCGCCTCCGCCAGCAGGCCGAACCTTCTCCAACTAACGAAACCAGGCCACAGAGTTTGGGGGTGGTGCCACCAGGCAGCAGGAAGGACAGTGAAGTTCCCCCAAGCAGACAGGGTGCCCGTCAGAGCCGCAAGCACCAGACCGAGGAGAACTTACGTCGAGGGCGAGGCAGGCGCTGTGGGCTCTTGGAAGTGGGCACTCCTCCACCCCAGAGCCCTGGCGTTCGGACAACCTCAAGCCCCAGGCTGGTTCTGACAGAACCGGGTGAGGAGCCCCGTCTCCTGAACCCCAGCGCACGGAGGCAGCAGGCGCTCAAACACTGCTCTTGGTCCCATCCTCCGCCCGCTGAAGTGTCACACCGGCCATGCAGAACCGACGGGAAGCGGAGACATCTCCTGACCTTTCCGCTCACGACAGCCTGAGGTTCTCCGGGACGGCCGCTGGGGAGATGGCCTAAGGCCGAGCTCCATCCAGCTTGTCTGTGGGCAGGCATCCACATCCAAACGGCCCACGGATACATCTCACTTGGCCTGTAGTGTTGGCTCACGTAGTATTTCAAAATGTTTGTTCTGAGTTAGCTGATAACTAATTCTGCATTTTGAAAATCCAGATTTATTATACATAACACATCTTTTTCTGGCTGCTTTCCACATTTAACGTTGGTTTTTAGCAGATTGTGATGTGATACATGTTTGGGATTTGCCAAACGTCTGAAATCTGTGTTTATCTAACATCAAATTTGGAAAATTTTCAGCCATTACCTCTTTAACTATTTTTGTCTGCTCCACACTCGTCTCCTAAACTCAGACGACATCAGTGTCAGATCTTTTGGTCCTGTCCCTACGTCCACTTTTACGCCCAGTTTTTCTCTGCTGTTGAGAATGTACGATTTTTATCGATCTGTCTTCAGGTTCAGACTCTTTCTCCTGTTACCTTCATTCTGCTACCGAACTCACGAAGTACATTTTTATTTGGTTTTCTGTATTTTTTAATTTAAGATCTTCTATTTGGTTCTTTTTTTATAGCTTCCACGGCTTTGCTGAGATGTTCTGTTTTTCATCCATCTCCAGAGTGTCCGCTCTCGCTCTCTAGAGTGGTTTCCAGCGACCGCAGTGCCTCTGTCACCTGGTTCACGGTCCTTGTTGTCAGCTGGTTCCCGTGTCCTTTGACAGCTGCTGAGATCTTCCTGGTTCCTTCATATGTTGAGTAATTTTGGTTTGTATCCAGGACATTGTTAACATATAATGAGACTGTGTGCCTTATTAAACCCTATGGAGAATGTCGGGTCTTGTGTCCTAACAGCAGCTGATGTGGGCTGCAGGTCAATTCAGCTCAGTTTTCAAGGCGTCTGCAGAGCCGTCTGGGTCCGGACTGTGCAGGCAGCACTCAGTGGTCGGGCTGGGATGTGGGTGGTGGTCCTCCCCAACATTCAGTTTTCAACGCCTCTGGGATGTAGGTTAGGGCCAAGTCCACGCATGCATAGCTTGGCGTGAGCCCAGGAGTCACATGCAACTTTACAGGATCCCTGTCCCAAGATGTTCCTGTCCATCTCCCTGACTCTGTGCCTCGGGGACACTCCTTTCCCAGGTCCTCTGGCTGGAAAGCCAGGGCTTTAGTGTCCAGGTCCACGTGGTGGCAGGGTGGAGGGAAAGAGCCCCAGGATCCCCCTTTACTCTCAGGGGCAGGTGTCTGTCCAGCCACCGCTCACACGGCCCCGGCTCGGCAGACAGCCCTTCAGGATTGGGACTTGCCTGGAGCCAGGACATAAGAGCAAGGCCAAAACAGCAACGACAACAACCTCGGGCGTCTCCTCGCTCTCTGCCCTGGAGGGGGCCCTGCCCCACGCTGGGACCAGTGGAGGAGGCCCCTCGTGGAGCTCTTTCCACCCTACCCAGGGCACAGTGCTGAGTTCCAGGCTGGCAGAGATGGACGGGAAAACGGAACTCAGGTCAGTCATCCATGTGTCAAGTTGCGGTCTCCTTCCCGTGACCTGCCCGCGCCGGCTGACTTCCTGGAGTCCCCACAGCTGCTCCGTGCCTTCTGTCCGGGCCTGCAGTCGTGCTCAGGGGGAGAGATGGGCTTGCCCCGTGCAGCCTCGTGGAAAAGATCCGAGATTGGAAGTTTGGGTCTGCATTCTGCCACTGGCCGCCTTCCCCGACTGGTCCCTGTGGACATCGGACCTGGTCCACCCTGGGCAGCGTGGCCGAGGAGCAGAAGGGACGGTGCTGGCTGCTGTGACATTTCCCATGGGGATTTGTCACCTGCGGTAATCAAAACCCTCCACTTCCCACCCCGTGCCTCTCTCTCGGTCTGAACTGTCCTGGTCTGGAGCACCAGCTGGGGATGTCTGCCTGGGGGTGACTCGGCATCATGGCTCAGGGCCTCAGTGGGGCCGCAGGGCAGGGCAGGGACTTGGGCTGATGGCACCCTTAGAACCGGGGGAACCGTGGAGGTGGGGGGCACACCACGGAGACGAGCTGAATGAGGGAAGCGGGGTGAACGGGGGACGGAGCTGACAGCACGCGGTCCCCTCCAGGCCTGGGCTGGGCCACCAGGAGGCCGCAGGCACCTGCCAGACTGGGGCCCGGGTGCACGGAGTGAACTGCACCGCGGAGGGCCGGCCTGTCCGAGCTGCTCACAGCCCCCACACTCACGACACCACACTTTCCGAGGAAAGCCCACAGCCACAAAGCAAGCACCTCAAGGAGAAGCTCCAAAAGCAAGCGAGGTTTGTGCCATGAAGACAGGAGGGAAGCAACGGGCGCTCAGAGGGAGAGGCTCGTTCCATTCTACGGACTCGGCGCTCAAGGCACGGTCTCCCCCAGAGACACCCAAGTTTAGGAGGGGACTGACAGACCCTCCTCAAAACACAAGGAAAGCCTAACGAGCCGCAGAGACAGATCCAGCTCAGGCAGCAGGGTCGGGCAGACAGCCGGGCTGGAGCCTTCTCAAGTGGGGCTTTGGGGCTGCAGCCAGAGCCGGAGTGACACCAGCCTGGAAAAGCCCTGTGTCCCCAGCCCCTCAGGGCCAGGCCATTCCTGGGGTGAGGGTGCCGGTCCTTCGACGGCCCCCTGGCCAGAAGCTGGCCCCTCCCTCCCCTGGTGGCTCGGAGAGAGACAGGACTCCACACGGCGGCACTCCCTATGGGGCGGGCAGAAAATGCAGCTGAGGCCAGTCCCGGGACCCGAGGCCACCCCTCCCCTGGCGCCCTGTCAGAGCCCCTCTGGGTCCTGAGTGCACAGGTGCACGTGCAGACGTGCGGTCACTGCTCAGACGTGAGGTCACCTGATGTAAAGAACATTTTCAGCCGCGCAGACCAGACGCCTCACCCAGCCTCGGCCCTTGAGTCAGCTATGGCTCGGGGTCAGGAATGTGACAGCCTCGCTGAGGTCCCACGACCAGCCGCCTAGGTCAAATATTAACCAAGTTGTTCCCGCCCGTCCGGTGCAGGAGAAAACCAACACCCTGAGCAATCTGCTTGTCAGGAAGGAACGCCCCTGTGCAGACAGCAAGGACTCTGATGTACAAGCTCACGTTGTCACCCCGAGACTGTGTGGTGCCCTGCCCCCAAGACTCCCAGGACCTTCAGTGAGCTGTGAATTCCCATCACTTGCAGCAGCTGTGGGACGGAGGAGCGAGCCGCAGAGGTCGGGCTGTCACTCTTCAGTATGTCTGGGGTGTCTGGAGTGCCACCCAAGGGAGACCCCGACTCCTCCTCCTACACGGAGCCCAGGGTTTCCACCACGCAGGAAGCCCAGCTGGTCGCCTCCCAGGCCCCAGGCCAGGTCCTTCCTGCTCAGGCTGGTAGCCTGGGGGCTGGAGTCCTGGTCAGGCCACCAGCTCCTCCCACACCTGGCCATCCCTACCCCCTCCCACTATTTTAATCCCAGCTCCCATTACGTCATTCTCGGCTCCTGCATGTTTTCCTCTCGGACTACTCCTAAAATACCTCTCACCTCATCCTTGCCCTGCCCCGCAGTCCAGAAAGCCTCCCCCACAGCACACAGGTCAGGCAGGCCAAGCCCCGTGGCCTCCCCAGCCCTCCCCTCACGAGCCCAGGCCCAGACCTTGCCCTCCTCCCACCCATCAAACTCCACCCAAAACACATCCCAAAAGAGCAGGCTTTTGTGACCTTAGGTCAGACAACGGTTTCTTGGGCATGACATCTAAAGCATAAGCCACACACACACACAAACACGCCGGACTTCATTCAATTTAAAAATCTTTTGCGCTGAAAAGGAAAATATCAGGAAAGTGAAGACAATCCACAGGATGGGAGAAAAAACTTGCAAATCATATACCTGACAGAGTTCCAGTATCCAGTGTAGATAAAGAAATCTACAACCCAGTAATAAAAAGACAAACAACCAAATTTAAAAACAGACAAAAGGTCTGAACAGACATCTCTCCATAGACGTATAAACGGTCAAGAAGCACATGAAAGGATGTTCAACATCATTAGTCATTTGGGAAATGCAAATCAAAACCACAACAAGATCCCACGGGACACCCACCAGGATAGTGGGGACGTGGGGGAGAGCGCAAGCAGGGGAGGGGCAGAGAGAGAGGGACAGAAGATCCAAAGCAGGCTCTGCATTGACAGGCTGACAGCAGCGAGCCCGATGTGGGACTCAAATTCACGAACTGTGAGATCATGACCTGAGCCAAAGTCAGACACTCGACCAGGTGAGCCACCCAAGTGCCCCAAAACTTTTCGATTTTATAAAGCCCAACATGTATTTTTTATGTTGTTTCCTGTGCCTTTGGTGTCACATCCAAGAAATCACTGCCAAATCCAATGTCATGATGCTTTTCTCCTGTTTCCTTCTAAGAATTCCATTGCTTTAGGTCTTACATTCAGGTCTTTGATCAATTTTGAGTTAATTTTTGTATACGGTGCCAGGTAAGAGTCTAATGTCATTCTTTTGCATGTGGATATGCCATTTCTCAGAACCATTTGTTGAAAAGACTGTCCTTTTTCCACTGAATGATCTTGGCACCCTTTCCGAAAATCACTTAACCATATATGTAAATGTCATTTCGGGACTCTCTAGACCCGTGGTCTATTTGTCTTTATGCCAATAACACACTGTCTTGATTATTGTACTTTTTAGTTATTTTTGAAATCTGAAAGTATGAGTCTTCTAGTTTTGTTCGAGATTGTTTTGACTATTTGGGGGTCCCTTAATATTCCATATGAATTTTAGGCCTGGTTTTTCTATTTCTGCAAAAAAAAAAAAAAAAAAATCACTGGGATTTCGACAGGGATTCCATTAAATCTGAGATTGCTTTGGGTAGTACTGACATTATAACAATATTGAGTCTTCCAGTCCATGAACATGGGATGTCTTTCCATTTACTTATGTCTTAAATTTTTTTCAGCAGACTGTTTTGTAGTTTTCATTGTACAAGTCTTTTATCTCCTTGGTTAAGTTAATTTTTTTTCAGAAAAAAAAATTTTTGTAGGTTTGCTCATTTTTGAAAGACAGAGAGAGACGGAGCACAAGCAGGGGTGGGACGGAGAGAGGTGGGGGGACACGGAATCCGAAGCAGGCTCCAGGCTCTGAGCCGTCAGCACAGAGCCCGATGTGGGGCTCGAGCTCACGCACCGTGAGATCATGACCTGAGCCCAAGTCGTACACTCAACCGACTGAGCCACCCAGGCGCCCTTCCTTGGTTAAGTTAATTTCTAAGTATTTTACGCTCTTAATATTACCATAACTAGAATTGTTTTTGTAATTTCCCGAGCGTCCTGCAAGCTGCTCTTGGTGGCACTGGGGGAATTAAGCTGTTGTGTCATTTCCCACATTAAGAAGCTTGAATCTCCTGCCTCTGGCGATGTCTGTGGACCCAGCTTCCTCTCCGTGGATCACGGCCTCCAACCTTGGGTGCTGGCAGCCTCCACTCTGGCCTGCCTCTGACCCATGGAGAGTTCTTTCCCATCACAGAAGTTGAACTTGGAAAATTGAGACAATGTTGGATTCAACTGCCCGGGTATGCCCTACATGCCGGATACAGTAAGTTGCCTACAGGATCTGACCAGTAAACAGTGACAGTGCAGGTGCAGCAAGCACACAGACACAGGCAGGTGGGCTTGGAAGCAGCAGGTGTGGGATCAACATGAGCCCACTTTGAGCACGCTGTGGCCACAAATCAGGTGGTCAGCCTCAGTGAGTCCGCAGGTGCCAAGGGTCCCCAGAGGAGGGGGCACCATGCCCCAGCCACCGGACAGGCCTCCCGCCGCACATTCGTATCTGAAAGTGCACACCAGTCGTCTTCTGTCATGCTTCAGTGGAATGGACATCCATCCAGGGAGAAGTGGGGAGGGAAGGGCCTGTAAGCCATATCACGGGAGAGGGAGCCAATGCACCTGAGGAGGGTGAGAAGAGGCCCCCGGGGAGGTAGGGTCACGATGCTGCCTTCACACACACACACAACCACCCTGGGAGGGGCTGAGGGTCTGCATGGATCTAGGCAAGAATGCATGAGAGGTTCAGGTACTACTACAGGCTTCGAAGAGAGCCCTGCACAGCTGTAAGTGCTGCACGGGGAGGGAGCTCCCCATCGCAGGAAGCGAGCAAGTGCCAGAGGAACAACCAGTAGGAATGGCAAAGATTCTGAACCAGCCAATCCGGGGGGCCCCTGGGATTCCAACGGACACCCCGTTCCAATGGCACAGGTGACTCTCATCAGGCCAGGCCAGGGGAGGGCCCTACCCAACGCCTTCAAGACTTGCGCCCCACCGGCCTCCCGTTACTCGGAGGACATCTGAAGTCACGGATGGCATCGGCACACCTGCTCCGCCCTGACAAGAGCGAATCCCATGACACAGGGCCCCCACCGCTGAGTGCACCTCTGTGCTCCGCAGCCAGAGCGCTGTCCCCTCGCCCCCCCTTCTGTACTCGGCACGTCCCTCCCACCGTCATGCTTCAGGGCCAGCCTGAAAGAGCGGCGCTCAGATCCTGCACCGCACACCTGCCTCGGGAGAGGGCCGTGGCCTCCCCCAACCCGTCCCACACTCACGTCTCTGCTCACACACCCAGACATCAAGGGCCAACATGTTCAAACCTACACTGCTCTTCACCCGGCGGTTTCACAAGCGTGACCGAAAACACGGCAGCCGTGTTCGTGCACATTCCGTTCTTACCAACTTGGAGGCACTGGCACCCACCACTGGGTCCAGTGAGAGCCGCAGGGGCCGCCTACCTCATTCCCTCAGTGGACTGGTGGCGATAGTTGCGGTAGAGCTGCGGGACACCCAGCATGGCCTCGGTCAGCACGGCCAGGAAGCCCAGGGTCTCCACAAACAGGGCCGAGTCGATGGACAGGTACGTGATGTAGCCCGCCACGCCCGTGAAGGCCACGACACACTGCACGTAGTCCCCGAAGCTGCTCCAGTGCCAGAAGTGGCGAGGGTCAAAGTCTAGGGCGAGAGGCGAGACAAAGGTAAGCCAGGCGTACGGGTCAGGGCGCCGTGAGGAGAGGACGTGAGCGGAGCGAGGAGGTCAAAGTCAATGGACGTGAGATGGACGTGGGCCGTGGGGCTCCGTGTGCTCTTGGCAGGGCCCTCGCGAGGGAGCTTTGATATTAGTCACCGTAAAGACGTTAAAATCCTTAAATCCTGTGATAGTATAGTGCAGGGGTTGTACCGGAGCCTCTGAAGTCTCTTCCCTGGGTTAGAATCCTCACCCCTTCCTCCACAAGTGGATCAGTTAACCAGGTGTCTCGGTGTCTTCAGGTGTGAAAGGAATAAGGTAACCTACCTCCTATGGTTACTCTAACGGTTACATGAGTTAATCTTACAAACCCAATAAAGTGCCCGGCCCATAATAAGGGCCAATAAAAGTATGTACTTATCATCACTACACAGTTGATAGAATGTTATCGTTCGCCTGACAGATAGATGTGTCCTGCAGAAACCAAATCCATAAGCACTCACAAATCGGCAAACTACGTGAATTTCTTGGGCTTTGGCAGATAAACACAGGAGGTCCTGGGGACAGAAGCGGCGTCAGGGCAGGTCAGGGAAATGGGGATAAATAGAAAGAGGGCTTGAGGGTGCAGGATGCACCCGATCCTGGCCCAGCCCTTAGAATGGCAGGATCTGGAGCCAGGGCACCTTGCCGGGAAAAGGACCCAGCAAGGGCTGCAGGCATGGGCGCCAGTATGGGGCGGCGGGTCCGGCCCTCCAGGGCCCGGGAAGTGCTGGCAGGGAATCATTCAACCTGCACACATGTTCCTGTCCTGCCAGCCCCGCCCCCCCCCCCCCTTTTCAGGCTCCATTCCCTCACTCTGCGTGAGAACACTGCCCAGAGTCTGAGCTAGAAAGGGGGAGCGCAGGCAGGAGGCGGGGCATGGTTTGCAGGTGTGACGTCACACCAGAGTGGGGGTCACCTCCTAGAGCAGGGCGGGGTATGAGCCAGGCTTGCTTCAGGAACAAACCCCAGCTGTAACACGGGGGTGGCCTGAGCGTGCAGGGGAGCTGGGGGCAAACACTGAGGTGTTCCCTACAGAGAGTATGAAGTCATGAGAGGATGTGACTAGGGGGCGGATCTCAGACCCGGATGAAGTTCCTGACTTCGTGCCCAAGGAGTGGAAAAACAGGGTCAGAACCGAGAACCTGGGCCAGGACAGGGATGGACTGCGAACAGACGAGCTGAGGACACCAGGCGAGGTCCAGGGGGCTTTAGGAAACAGGGTCTGAGGTCAGTCGGTCACAAGTCTTTCTATTTTAGGTTCCCAAGGAGCAGGTCAACTGGCAAATGACTAACAGAATACCTTCATTACAAAATTTCTGAGAGAAGACTGAGACCGGACCCTTACCTTAGCAGACACAAAAATTGCCTCAAAAAGACCTAAACATGAGAGAGAAAACGGTAAGACTCTCAGCAGAGAACACAGAGGGAGAGCGTCAGGACAGTGGATTTGCCAACAGCTCCTTGGATATGAGAACAGAAGAGAAAATAGACCAATTTGACTGTATCAAAATTATAAACTTCTGTGTTTCTAGGAAAAAAAAACTCTTTGAAATTATTGGTCTTGGCAACGATTTTTGGATAGGACACCAACAATGCAAAGCAAAAATAAACAAGGAGAACCGCATCAAACTGAAAGGCTTCTGCAGAACAAAAGAAACGACCAGCAAAATGAAAAGGAGACCAACAGAATGGGAGAAAATGTTTGCAGACCGTCATGTTATAAGGGGTTTATACCCAAAATATATGCAAAACTCATACAACTCAGTAGCCAAAACAAAAAACAAAAACGAAACAAACAACCCAATTAAAAAATAGAGGACTAGAACATGTATTTTTCCAAAGAAGACATACAAATGGCCAAAAGACACATGAAAAGATGCTCCACATCACTCATCAGGGAAATGCAAATCAAAACCACAATGAGATCCGATCTCACACCTGTCAGAATGGCTAGAATAAAAACAAAAAAGGGATCAGCGTTGGTGAGGATGTGGAGAAAAGGCAACACTAACTGGGGCAGCCACTGTGCAGAACAACATGGAGGTTCCTCAAAATATTAAAAATAGCAACACCACATGATCCAGCAATTCCCCTTTGGGCATTTATCCAAAGGAAACGAAATCACTATCTTGAAGAGACATCTGCACCCCACGTTCACAGCAGCGCTATTTACAATAGCCAAAACATGGAAACAACCTAAGCGTCCACACCAAGAGATGAATGGAGAAAGACGACTGGTGTATATATATATATAATAGACTATTATTTAGCCATAAAAAAGGGAGATCTTGCTTTTGTGACAATATAGATAGACCTTGAGAACCTTGAGCATAATGCTAAGTAAAATCAGTCAGAGAAAGACAAACACTGTGTATTCTCACTCATACGTAGAATCCAAAAAAGCCAAACTTGTAGAAACAGAGCAGAATGGCGGTTGCCAGCACTGGGGGTGGGGGAGGTAGGGAGATGTTGGTCAAAGGGCACAGACTTCTAGCTGTAAGATGAATAAGTTCTGGCATCTAATGTACAGAATGGTAACTATAATCAACAGTATTGTATTACACACTTGAACGTGGCTGAGGCACCGGGCTGGCTCAGTCGGTGGAGTGTGCGACTCTTGATTTCGGGGTCATGAGTTTAAGCCCCATGTTGGGTGCAGAGTTTACTTCAAAAAGAAAAAAGGAAAAAAAAGAAAGATCCTGGGGTGCCCGGGTGGCTCAGTCAGCTGACCACCTGATTTCAGCTCAGGTCATGATCTCACGATTCGTGAGTTCGAGCCCCACAGGCTCGCTGCTGTCAGCACAGAGCCTGCTTCGGATCCTCTGTCCTCCTCTCTCTCTGCCCCTCCCCTACTCATGCTCTCCCTCTCCCTCAAAAATAAATAAACATTAAAAAAAAAGTAGATCTTAAATGTTACCTCCACCAAAAAAATAAATAAATAAATAATGTGAAGGGATGGAAGTATTAATGAACCTTACTGTGGTACTTATATCACAATATATAAGTGTATTAAGTCATCACATTGTACATCTTAAATAGGTTATATGTCAATAATACCTCAATAAAGCTGAAAAAATGAAATTTTTTAAATAGTTCTGTGTCAAATAACATAATCAACAGAGTAAGAAGGTAACTCACGCAATGGGAGAAAATATTTGTGAATCACATATCCAATAAGGAACTTGTATCCAGAATATACAAAGAATGCTTACAACTCAAAAAAAAAATTTTTTTAAGGGGCAACATAGTTGAACAGACCTCTCTCCAAAGGACATCTATAGATGCCCAATAAGCACATGAAAAGATACTCAATGTTATTAATCATTAGGGAAATGAAAATCAAAACCAAAATGAGATACAACCTCACAACCATTAGGACAGCTGCTTTTAAAAACAAAACAAAACAACACAGGGCACCTGGGCAGCTCAGTCACTTGAGCATCCGACTCTTGATGTCGGCCAGGTCATGCTCTCCCAGTTTGTGAGATCGAGCCCCACGTCGGGCTCTGCACTGAGCCTGGAGTCTGCTTGGGATTCTCTCTCTCCCTCTCTCTCTGCCCCTCCCCGGCTCGTGCTCATATACTCTCTCTCTCTCAAAATAAATTAAAAACAAAAAAACAGAAACAATCGTTGGCAAGGACGGGGAGAAACTGGAACCCTGTGCACTGTTGGCAGGTATGTGAAATGGTGCAGCCGCTGTGGAAAACAGTATAGAGGGACCTCACAAAATTCAACACAGAATCGCATGACCCAGCAATTCCACTACTGGGGATACACCCAAAAGAACTGAAAGCAGGGACTCAAACGGATATTCGTACAACCATGTTCACAGCAGCATTATTGGCAATAGCTGAAACACAGAAGCAATTCAGGGTCCACCAACAGGTAAATGCGTAAGCGAAATGTGGTCTGTACAAACAGTGGAGAATTATTCAGCCTTAAAATGGAAGAAAATTCTGCAACGTGCTAAAACATGGATGAACTGAGAGCATGATACTGAGTGAAATAAGACAGGTACAAGAAAGAAGGGAAAGCAGACCCCTAATGCTGCCCAGGACAGCGATTCTAACAAAGCAAAGGTGGCAAAAGGAACAGCCAATCGGTCACCACTGCTTCCCAAAGGAAGGGTGAGGCATCCTTCCACTCTGGCAAAGTCCAGTGTCGAGAGGAGGAAGAAAAACCCATATCAGATAGGTAGTCACACATATAAGCAGCTAGGAGCGGTTAAGGGAATGCAAAAGCCAGGAAAATGAAAACTGAGCTGCCACTCTTTTTCCAGTCAAGATGGAACAACAGAGACCAGACTTACTGTCCCAATAGCCACAAACTGGGCAAAATAGATGTCTGCAAAACACTGGACACGAGGCAGTAAAGGACAGGGATCTCTAGGAGATGCAATACAGGTGAAGTGAGCCCCAAACTGTCCCAGGTTCGGCCTGGAGTTTCCAGGGTGCAGAAAATGAAGTGAGAACCAGGCCAAGCCCCCAGAAACCCAGTAGGGAAGACAGAGCTGGGTCTAGGACATGAGGCGGCTGGAGTTTGCAGGACAAAGCAAGCACCGATCACAAGACCGGGCAAAGAACCGCCGAAAAAGGTAAGCATTCACAGGATGCAGCATTCCCAAAGGACCAGGAGCAGTGTCTTCCTTTCAGCCAGAATGGGAAACCTCGAAATTCACAGGGCTTTAGGTAGAACATTGCTTCAGCAGTGGGGAGTAACTAGCCCAGGCTGAGCAATGCTCCCACCTAACTCATCTTAAAAGCAAGATCTAAAAAGATCACACTGTTTCCAAGTTACTTAACCACATCCCCAGAACAAAGCTCACAAATATTTATAGAAACTTAAAAATATTCAGCAGATAGCAAGGTAAAACTCACAATGTCTGACATCCACTCAAAAATTACCAAGCATGTAAAGAAACAGGAAAACGTGATCTATAATGAAG